TCAGATAAGAGATGAGAACTACCAGTCATGTGATCGGATGCGCCAGAGTCAAGAATCTAGGGACTCTGACTAGAGGACAAAAGACATGCAGGGGCACTACCTGATTGGGCAAGGGACCCCATGGAAGATGAGTGTGACGTTTCCGATTTTTTGTATTTTTTTTTTTTTAGTAATTCATAGAGACAAGGGTATTTTTGTCCTTTCACGTTTGTCGTTCGGGATTGTGGTTGGGTCCATTTGCATTTTTGGACATTTTAGATTATGCGGATTAAGTGGTATTTGTATGTGGTGTAATTTGAAATTAAAAGAAAAAGATAAAAGAAAATGGAAATGGTGGGACCCACCACCAAGGTTAAGTGGTCTAGAAACCACTTTTGCTTCTCATTTTTCCTCTCTCCCGTAAATGCCTTGCTCTTCATTGTGTTCTTGCTTTTTCTTTTCCATTTTGTATCAATCTTTGAAGCTTCATAACTCTCTCAACTCTTGGAGTTTTTAAGTGCCGTTTGAGGCTAAACGGAGAGCACGACGAGCACTACACGTTCATACCGACAATTCTAGCTTTGAGCCTCCCTAGGGAATTCGAAATTCTTGACCTAATTTAAGGGTTTTGTGCAATCTTGAGGTAGGGGCTTCCTAATTCACATTATTCATGCACCTTTGTGAATTAACTTACTTGAATTGTGTTATAGCATGCTTATTTGTGTTAATTGTAGCCAAAAAAATGTCTTGAATGTTTATATGTGAATATGTGAAGACTTGTCTTGATTGCACTATTTGAAAAGCATGCTTATATTGTGAGTTATGCCTATTGTATTATTCACATGCTATGAATGGTGTATGAAAGCATGCCCTATTGTATTTTGTGATAATCCATTATTGTTTAAATATTAGAAGTATGAGAACATGCTTACTTGTGTTGTGTCAAATTCCTCATTTTCATAGTATTGAGATCATGAGACATGCATGTACACCATTGGGCTGCATGAAGGGAAGAAATTTGTTTTCGAAATGAAAATGGGGAGTTTTGGGAAATAATGTTTTGATGAAAGTGTTTTGGAAAACCCGATCGCCACGGGGGTACCAAAGGGCCGGAGGTTAATATAGCCTAGAGGGGACTAGGGAGTCACCCTAGCGTGGTTGAGCTAGCGGGGCCCCATAATGACGCCGCGGGGGTACCAAGGGTCAGGGACACTAGCCAATCCTCCTCTCATGTCGCTGCGGGGTCACCAAAGGGCGGGCTGTATTAACAGTTGAAAGCGATGATTCTGATTGTGAAAATGGGGAGCGACATCAGCATGCATTGCATCTCCATTGCATCATATTATTTGTGTTGAGAATGGTAACCATGTTGTATTCTCCCCTATGTTGTATGACCCTAACTCCTATTGGCCTATTCTTCATTTTGGATTCACGGGGTCGCATGAGGTGCATCTTAGGCGTCACCTACTGAGCAAATTGCTCACCCCACCCTACTTATATATTTTTCAGGTCACGGCAAGGAAATGGCGGATGAAAATCCTCCGCAAACTTGAAAGTCGTTAGAAGATGATTTTTTTTTGCTATTTTGTATTTGGCCATTTCATGTGTAATTGTAGTTTTGGGAATGTAAATAAGTTTGTATTCATGGCCATTGAGAAAATATAATTAACTTCTAATTACACCAAATCCTTTAGTGTATTTTAGTGACGTGTGGTAAATCATGTTATTAACGTTGTTGCTATTGAATTTATTGTTGAAATGTATTGAAATTACACGTAAGTGTAGTGGCGTGGGTGTTTGAATTATCAAAAGTTGGTGTACGTGGGTTACACAGGACAGTGGGAAGTGGAAGTGAAGATTTTCCAGAACCGGTCGACGTATCGACCGGTATCTTCACAGTGGGTTAATATTGCATACGTTCCAAACCAGTCGCCGTATGGCATCCCATACGTAGACCGGTATCACGTCCCAAACCAATCGACGTAGGGCTTCCCATATGTCAACCGGTACCTTGGCAGTGGGTTTTCCCATTGTTCATACCCAAACCAGTCGATGTATGGTGTGGATACGTCGACCGGTTTCTGTCTCTTAAGTAATATGTGTTTAGTTTCCCAAATTGCACTTTGGCACCCAAGTGAGGTTTTACGTAATTATTTTATGACCCAATAAAATGCAAAAATTACATTTTAACCACCAAAAGGACTATATTGCCCCGAACCTTATTTTGTTTATTATGCAATGCAAGCAAATGACTGTTTTACCTTTTGAGACTTAATTAATTGAATTATGGCAAATTACCATTTTGTCCTTTTTGGACCTTGTTATTTAATTTTAACGTGAAATGACCGTTTTGCCCTCGGATGTTTTTGGGTCGGGTTAGGACCCGTTTAATGATCCGGATCCATAAGGAGCTGGGTCGTTACAATGAGGTAGAAGGCCGTTGTTGAGACAGAAACAACTGAGTATACTCATCGCGGGGAATCATGACTATAACAGTCTCAACAGCCACATGTGGAGCAGTGGGTGTGGCAAAGAAAGAAGAATCCCCATCATTAGAAGTCACTTGATGTGCATAGGAAGAAGGTGGTGGTTTCCCATGAAGATCCCAACAGTAATTGACAGTGTGATTAGTAAGACAGTGAGTGCAAAGTTTTGATTCTCTGCCTCTGCCACGACCACGACCAGGACCACGGCCACGACCACGAGTAAAACGACCACCACTACCACGAGAAGACTGAAAACCACCCTGGTTCACAACTAAGGCAGAACGTTCACTGCTAGGAGGAGCAGTGACACCACTTGAAGCACCCCCGGAAACGCTACTAGATAAAGTAGCATGTTGGAGTCAGGATAACATATCAGGAAGATAGGGAAGTGTAGGGCTACCCAAATCTGTGCATAAACAGGTTCATACTCTTGTGACAATCCTGTGAGAACCCCGAACAACATTAAAATCCTCATGTTGTTGTTGCATGCTTCTCACATCAGAGGTGATGGGTTGATACAAATTCATTTCTTCATAAAGTCCCATTGCCCGTGAGAGGTATTCTTCTAAACTGTGAGTCCCTTACTGGAGGTCAAAAAATTGTCTACATACCTCATAAATTTTGGTTATATTACCAGTACTTGAATATAACTGTTGGAGTCGGGTCTATATCTCCTTGGCAGTGTCCAGATATAATAAGTTGGAGCTAATATGAGGTTCAATACAATTCAGCATTAAGGAGATGATCTGAGCATCCCTTTGTTCCCATGAACTGAAATCAGCATCACTGTCTTTGGGTTTATCCTTAACCAAATGAGTGCCAAAGCCTTTGGCTTTCAGGAAAATGGCTACTGACTTGGCTCATAAAATGTAATTTTTGCCATTAAGCTTGACTGAAGTCATGGGAGGATTGAAGGAGGTAGAAGATAACAGGTTTGAACTGACAGCCATGGAGAAGATAACAAAAAAAACGAACCTGGGAAAAAAATTGCAGAATCGGCGGTTGGGCCGGATCTGGGTAGTCTGGCTGGACCTGGGTAATCGGGTCGGGTCTGGGCGAACAGGGCTGGATCAAGACCAGGTCTCTGCTATCTCGGTTTTAGTAAACCAGGGTTGGAATAGCATAACCGCGTAGCCAAACATGGCTGTTCTTCTTCACCCATTGACAGACGTCGGCAAGCATGCAGCGGCGACGGCAAAAATCAGCGACACCACACAGAATCAGAACCTCTGCAACTTCCGACCAAGAGAAAAGACGAATCGATGAAGCCTTACCTCTGCAAATAACGACAGTGGATGTCGGCAAGCTTGCTGACGACCGAAGCGGCAACAACACGAGCAGCCAACGGGGCTTCAGATCTGACGACGACGAAGGAGGCTTCAGATTTGACGACAATGACGATGAATGATGCTCTCAACCTGCCAGCGAACAGAACTTCCGGCGAAGACACCAACAACACACTCGCGATTTCGATCCTGATTCCAATCTCATACAAGGACAACACAATTGTCATTTCCCACACCCATGAATTCATATAGCTCTGGTACCATGTTCGAATTCATGAGAGAGAGAAATTCTGTATGTATCTTGTATATATCCCACCTAACCCTTAAGCCTACAGTGGCTTATATAAAGGAAAACAAATAACCTAATTATACAAGGTTACCTAATTACACAATGATCCTAACAACTATGGGTAATTACATAATGACCCAACATAAATATATATATGCATAAACATTCTAACAACAATCTATTTAGAGTAGATAGTGGTGGACAATCTAAATATACCTATTTTTCGTAAGTTCTATTTATGCATGGCAGTTATTTTGCTTTGGGTGGAGCATTTAAGATAGACTGCACAACTTTATTTCTCCAGTTCTACTCTTGGATTGCATTAAGGAAACTGGTGATCTTATTAGCACTTATTTACTTTCTCTTCAAAACCAAATATTTGGCAACAGGAAAATGCATTTTGAAGTTGATCGCCTTAGATTCTATAATGAGTGGAGCAGTATAATAATTCCTGTTTAAATATTTTCTCATTATCTACAAACCTAAAACTGTTTCTCTTCCTGTTTACAGAACTTTCAGCATGAGTGTATTCCTGTCCTTCCATAAATGCATGCTCTGACTCAACTTTTAATCACGTATGTGCTATAATAGCTAAAAGATTATTACCACTGCTGCTGGTCCCACAGGCATGGGGTGCTGGGTGTGGTCATAACTTTGTGCAATGCTAAAATATCGACCTGACAAGCGTGGCTGTGTGAGGATGTAGTTTCAACTCTGAGAGCAGTGACTTGCTCTACTAATGTTTCATTATTGTTTTCTTTTTCATTTTTGGGATAAATCGGTTTAGATTAGTTTTGACTAGAATTTGGAACTTCTTTTTATCTGAAGAAGTTTTTTCAGTACTTCTTTTTATTTATTTTTATTGTTTATTTTCATTTCTGCATAAATATCAGTTTTGTATATTTTCACCTTCTCCCATCTACAATCCATATTCTGCATCTTAACCTTGTTATAGGACAGAATTTGGGACAAAATATTGGCTTCAGAGAGGTATTTGACGTTGCAGTGGCCAGAGCTGTTGCAGAAATGAGAATTTTGGGTAAATAAGAGAACTCCTCAACTGGATTTCTTATATGTATCTTCAAGCATTTCAAAGCTCTTATTGGTGGTTATTGCTGTTATTTGGTTTTCAGCTGAGTACTGTCTTCCTCTGGTTCGTGTGGGTGGTTTGTTTGTGGCTGCAAAGGGTCATGACCCTCAGGTATGTGCTTGTTAGCTTCAGTTGGAATTGACCACTTGGTCATAATTTTTTTACTGAAGGTTACGTATTCTCTCTATATATGTATATAGATAGATAGCAGATATCGATATAGACAACTTGAAGGTTATGTATCCTATATTGTGTAAATCGTGTGGTGTTTTGCCTGTTGCAAGAAGATTGTGACTTTTTTTTTTCGGTAAAAGAAGATTGTGACTTACTCTTGTCAAAAAAAATAAATGAAAAGAGGGGATAATTTTGATGCTACAAATGTCAGATAGCAGATGATCTCTAGCAGAGGGTTTCTTCGAAAGCATTCATAACTTGTATGTATTATACAATTTATACATTTCCCCTGGCATTTTGTGCGGCTTCATGAAGCAGCATCTGTAGCCAGAGAGATATGTAGCATCTTGTGTCGTAGTAAAGCTGTGGAGCTAACATGAGATAGCTGACTAAGGACATTTCTCCAAAATGTAATTATTTCATTTTGTCTTTCTATTCAAAGGCAGAATCATGTCCTTTAGTAGAGTCACTATAGAAATTTGAGGTATCAGCAGAATATAAACTTTAACAAAATCATATTCGTGAAGCTTAAATAATAAAATAGATTGATTATAACTGCCTTGAAAATAAAGTTAGTTATCTTGAAATGCCACCTCATCCAATGTGGAATCATCTCAGTTCGGTGGGATGTAAAATTTCTCTCGAAGGAGTTTTTATGTCTTTTTTTTTTTTGGAATTTTGAGTTTTAATGTCTTAGATACCTCTAAGAATATGTTGAAATGCCTATATCATCATTAATTTAATATTTCTGATATTTGAAGTAGCTGATTTCTTGTTTGATACACATTGACAGGAGGAAGTTAGAAGAGCAGAAAAAGCAATTCGTTTGATGGGTGCTTCTGTATTACAAATGTGCTCTGGTGTGCTTGTCTTGTACTCTGTTTTCATTGCATAAAATATTAAGTTGTGTAAGAATAAAATGAGACAAGTTAGTTGGTCAGTCAATGGCTCTGAGTGAAAATGGAAATTTATTCTAAGGTCTTGTAGTTTGAAGCAGATTCTTTCCATGCTTCTTAGAATATGGTGCATTGTTGCAGATTAATTATAGGTTTTAAATCCCAATTTAGGGGCTTTTCTCAACTGCATGCATTAGAACATAAAAGGCTCTGCAAAATCTAGGGTTTCTTATCTAAGTTGGAGAGGTTTTGAATGTGAAATTTAGTTTTATCTGTACTCATTTCTGGATCAAGATGACAATCTTTGGATACTTATTTTCATTTTATGATCAAACTTGCATTACTGAACTTCCTTATAGAAGGAATATTAATTTCTCTTGTATTGAATGCAGTGGAATCACATAGCCCACATGGACAGAGAACTGCCATTGTATGTTTGAAAGGCAGCTCCACCCCTCAGAAATATCCCCGTGATCCGGGTACTCCAGCGAAATTACCATTGTAAGTAACTTGGATGCTCAAACAACCGGCTTTTGAGTTTTTCTATTTGCAGTATTAATCTTTTGTGTGATAACTTAGACTTCCAAGATCTTACTTTTTACATTTAAATAGACAATGAGAGGGAAAAATGTCATCATTCATTAATGTGCAGTTGACAAAATGCGCTCCATTAAGGAGGTGATGTGATGTAATTAGTTTGCAGTCGACAATTAGATACTTTTTTTTTCTGTATGAATATATCTTTTCATCTTTTAAGGATATTCACCCCCGGCCCCCTTTTTTTTCATTTTTTCTTTCTTTTTTTAATTATTATTTATTTATCTTTGGTGTTTGTGTGGGGGGAGGGGAGGGGAGGTTTGGAAAGAGTTTCTGAATATACTTCTCTTTCACATATGATGAATTGTCACTTACTGTAATAGTTTTGTGGGGCCATTGGTCCTAGAGAAGTTGTAAGTTATAACTAATGAGTTTCCTGGATCATATCCCCAGTCATGCTGCCTTCTGTGAAAAATTATTTGCAACTTTCATGGTGTAATTAAAGCAGAATTCATTTGTTTAGGAGGAAATAAAGAAAAGTAAAACAAATTTAACTTTAGTTCGGATAGAAGGAAACAAAAAATATCAAGGAAATAAGTTTCCCATAAGTACTTGGTTTTCTTTGAACTTTTCCAGCAAAAAGAGTCAAGAAAACCTGTCTTTCCTCAAAAAAGGGGCTCTTGATTTTGAGTTTCCAATTGTGCCCACTCCTGTTTGTCAAATCGTGAATGCCTTGAGGTCTGTATTGGATTTAGTTACTATTGTTCTCCAAGATAATATTAGTATCCTTAGTTAATTTATTAATTATAATAAAAATAACAGCCCCATTTTGTGTTTTTATGCTATTGCAGTATTTAATATAAGTCCATCTAACATTCTAGTTACGTGGCATTCCCACACGCTTAATATTAATATTATAATAAAACATTTGGATTGATTTAGAGGATAATCAATAGTGTGGTGCATGGTCATGGAGATGCTTCATGTGTCACTCCCCCCCCAAGTAATCAATAGTATGGTGTGAGGGGGGATTGGTTGAAGCAGCAGGTTGGTTGAAACAGTCTGAAGTGATCAAACAACCAGAATGCTGAAGAAACCAAAACAAACACAGGCAAGAACTCTAAACCTACAAAACCCCCTCGTTTGTCGCTCACCCGGAAATACCAAAAACACCAAAAGACTCCCGCTCACGCAGCCATGTGGACTCGGTAGTCTAATATTTAAACTTAGGCTTATTTATCTCTAGCAACAGAACAACCATTGTCTCCATTAAAAGTAATGACGGGATAGTTAAAACATTCTTGGCTTATTCTGGCCACTTGTTTAATGATTGAAATTAAATTCATACTGATAACAGTTGTAGCACTTTGCTACACTGACGTGCCTAATAAGATATTGATAAAATTCCGAGGACATGTATTCTCCTCCAGAATCAGATTGTAAAATTCTTCTTCTTCTTCTTCTTTTTTTTTTTTTTTCATTGGAAATAATGTCTGGCTTGTTGATTGTGTACCGTTCACTCCAATGGTGATTATCAAGCTTCTGTGAACTAAGGCTAACAAGTGGGTTGCTAATTGGCCTAGCGGTACCAAGCCCCTACTTCTCAAAGAGAGGTTAGGGGTTCGAGTCTCGGTGGAGGCATGTGTGTGTGAGTACCAACTAGGAAAAAAAAAAAAATTTGCTGCAACCAAGGCTATGGACTTGGCAAAGTTATGGTCAGAACTTAGAACCAGGCTGTGGCTGCCTTTATGATGAAGACTAAGGACTAAGGGATACAGAGACATGATAATGAAGAGGGTGACGTGATGTGGGAACCTTTTCTCAATTGCTAGAACTTATAAATGTAAAATTTGTTGGGGTTGGTTGTTCCTTTCAATGTCTAAATCCTCCCATTAGTTTCTGCAAGATGTCCCTCCATCTTGTTGCTGCTCCACTACTGGAACCGTCATGTATTACACAATGGGGAATGACCACTCCCAAGTTTTCTGGTGCTTTCCTTAGTCTTCTCTATATTTTTGTCGTGTCATTCTGTATTTTAACAATTTGATGTTCTGAACAAACCAATGTTCTTCACACCCAAATACTAAGACCGATTCAGGTTTCTAAATTCTAGGAGGAATGGTTATAGGATGGTTAGAAACGATTATCCGTGTGCTTTTCAGGAACAGTATCAAACGGTTGATAATGTGGTTAGTTGTTTTTTCTTCGTTGGTGTGGACAACTAGGATGTACTTTGGGAATCATAAGTGGGATCGTGAGGCTTCAATATTCCGTTCCTAATAGCCATCCATGTCAATCAAGAAAACACAACTAACCACATTATCAACAACCGTTAGGGATGGCAGCGGGGCGGAGTTGGGACGGGTTTGGCTAAACCCTACTCCGCCCGTTGGAAAATCCATCATACCATCTCCATCCCTACTCCAGGACGGGTTTGTAATTGGTATACCATCCCCGCCCATACTCCGGCCGATGGACTACCAACTCTGGCCCGCTTACTAGGTTTAATGGCCAGGTAGGGCCGGTTATACCACTTTTATTATTTAGTAAAAAAAACAAGCCCAATGTGCTCAAATTGGGTTGATAAACAAGCTGGCCCAGCTTTTAAATTACATACACATGGTGATTTAACCTTGATTATCTAGAAACATAGTTATAAAAATATGTTTCTTAGAGCTGTATTTAGGAGAAAATGTGATTCAATTGTCATTTTGTTCAGGTTTTTGACACAAAAATTCAGGTAGAATGGTCTCACAGTCACAGGTTATATTTTTTGGCTCCTACATGTGTGTATACACCAAACCAAGTAACAAGAAAGAGGTTTACCTAGAACATGAAACAGGATGATTGTTATATCTTGTTTTGTTGGTCCATCTGAGAGGAGTATTAGGTAAATCTTGTACGCTTGTGTCTCCCCTTCTACTTTCAACTTTCCTCACATCATATAAAGTGATGGATTTTCAAAGAGAGAAACTATTGGGTTAGATGATGTTGGCATGGGAGAAAAGGCTTTTACCTAACTTCTGATCCACTTATTATTAGTTAAATAGGTCAAATTGTAATTAAGTATTACATAAGTTGATAACATTTGTTAGGATTAATTTCTTTAATATAATGATGCTGCCACGGAGTCCTAGCACAATTTAAATATGTATAAATATTATGAAATTAAACATATGATGTACGTGTTAATCTTTCTGGTTTTGGTCCCTTCAATTTAACAGATGCATCATGGGTTAGAGTTGTTTATTTAGCTTTGAAATGCCATAGCCTATTAAAGGCCTGTTTGTTTCTACTTGAATGCCTAAATGCTCAATTGCAGAATTGATTTGCCATGTGGCAATGGTCACTCTTACTATAACCTTTGCTTGTAACTTTCAAAAAGTACTAAATTATTAATGCTACTTAAGGGGCAGTTGGCTTTTTGGTTTGTCTATTTGTATATATGTTTATGAAAATGAGCCTTTTTTTCCTCTTTCCTATTAACTCGACCAATGGAGAGCATAAAACAGGGCATTAACCATTTGAATAACTTATTAACTACATCCCTAGCTTTCTGATATTATTAATTGTAGCATCTGTGTGACTGTGTCCCTCTAATATTAAGTAATGTGATTTCTGTCATTTATGCATTTTGGAAAGTAAATAGTGTGTTCAAGAAAGTAGGAATTTTTTCAAGGGTAAAGTGCAAAAAAAACCTCTTGAACTATTGCTCTTTTGCAAATAACCCTCTGAACTACAAATTGTCACCCCTAAACTATTGATTTGTTGCAATTAAGGACAAACCCATCACAAAAGACTATCTTACCCTTTCTCATTAAACCATTTCTTATTAAATTATTTATCTTTTATCTTTTCTAAATATTTATTATGCTATTTACCTTAATTTTATTATTAGTATCAATTTATCATAAAAATGGAAAACTATATATATAGATTTGTAACTACCATTTTCTAAAATGATTAACTTATTATTAAAACTTTAGTATTTATAATTAAACTTATTATACTTAGTTTAAAAAAATTTACCCTAAAAAATACCTTTTTTTTCATACAATATATACATGAAAAATTAATAAATTACTTAAATAAAAAATACCTTCTTTTTCATGCAATATATACATGAAAAATTAATAAATTACTTAAATAAAAAATACCTCTTTTTCATGCAATATATTCATGAAAAATTAAGAAATTACTTAAATTGTTTTTAAATTTTGTACTTACGATATTTATTTAAACAATTAATTTAAAAAATTAAAGGTAAATTTATGCAAATTTAATGGAGAATATGTCATCAAATTAGTATGATTTTTTTTTTTTTTCTTCATAATTTATTTCGATAAGAAAAATAGATTAAGTGTAATTCAATAAGAAAGGGCATTTTGGTCATTTAATAAAAAATAGTCCAGACATTGGGGCATTTTGCAACAAAATGTGATAATTCAAGGGTTATTATGCACAAAATATACTTCAAGAGTTATTTGCAAATTCGGCCATAGTTTTTGGGGTTTTTGTACTTTATCCTTTTTTTTTTTTATAATGTTCACACGCTAGAGTTGTACAATAATTTCTTTATTATTAAAATGAGCCTTTCTATCCTCTCTCTTATCTGTTTTTTCGTATATATTTTCTGATGAAAATTGCTTTTGCCTACCTACTTCTGAATAGGAAATTTGTTGGACTATGAGAAATGTAGTGTTTTGGTTTGGCGTGTCAAAGTTAGATATGGAATATACTGTCTTGGAAAGTTGGAATCAACTTAGAATATAGATAAAATTATTAGAATATTGTCAATTTGTAGAAGATGGAAGGTGAGAATTATTGTCACTAACCTGTATTATAATAATTATTCATCTGTGACCTTAATGCCCTTGCTTTATTTGAGTTCTTGCCATCCAACTAACCCTACAGAGTAAAGAAAACCAGCACCAGATTTAGGCGTTAAAAACATGTTTGAAAGGGAGGGACCATGTTTTTTTATTTTATTTATTTATTTTATTTATTTATTTTTTTTGTAAGCTTGCATGTTTGAAAGGGAAGGACCATGCTTTTTTTACTTTCTTTCTTTTCATTTTTCATTTTTTATTTATTATTATTTTTTTGTTAGTATTGAAAGGGAGGGACCATGTTGTTCCTCTGTGTTTTTTATTTACAATATCTGAGAGAATAGCTTCTTTAGGACCATGAGACCATCAAGAAGCATTCATAATGAACTCAATATAATATGTATACACGTTAAAGTCAGGTTAGTGACAATTATCAATTAAAAACTAGAATGGTCAGTTCATTCAATAAATCATAAAAATCATAATTTCGCTTCTAAACACCAGGATAGCGTTCTTCAATAGCTTAGTTTATAGGGAAACCGCCCTTTAAAAATCCCTAGTTAAATTCCCTTATGGTTCATAAATTTCAAGTCTTTTGATCGTAACAATCCTAATACAAACTCAAGAAAAATAGAAGGAAAGATCTAAAAGAAAATATGAGAAAAGTACTACTCCTAGACTCGTACAAAACATAAAAAAAGTAGAAGAAGAAGAAGAAGTCTAAGGAAAAGGGACTAAAATCTGCCAGACCTTGATGTCACAGTCCAAACTGCCGCTGTAGAGGAGATACAAAGATGTATGAGACTGATAAGAAGGGTCACTTGACGCAGTCAAGCACTTTACTGGCCCTTTATGCCCCTCCAAGACTCCCAGGCAGTAGTAGCATTTCTCTACACCTCTCCATATTCTTACAGTACTATCAGCAGAACCGCTGCATACCAAGTCGGACACAACTGCCAAGCACAATATGGACTTGGCGTGGCCCCGGAGGGCACTGGCAACCACCATGTTGCCACTATCATCTCTCTCCCAAACCACTATTGATCTGTCACATGCACCAGAGTATAACACGGATCCATCGGTACTCAGTGCCAGTGCGTTGACCCCTGAGTTGTGTTTCTCCAAGGTAGCAACTAAAGAATGCTTCGTTTCTCCTGAGCTTTTCGTCCACACCTTAATTTTCCTATCAGCTGACCCGGTGTAAATGTGTCCCTCTTTAGATAATGTTAAGGCGTTTATTGCATCATCATGCGCATTATCTATTGACTCTAAGCATTTGAAGTCAGTTGTTCGCCAAATTTTGATTGTTCGGTCCCATGAAACGGAGTACAGGAGGGACTCATCGATTGACAAGGCTAGTGCAGATACAGTGTCCACATGATGAACCCACGTGCATTTCTTGTGGCGCCGGACCTGTACATAGTGCTTGGGTATTAGAAGCTTAAGGGCACGGTCACTTAGTGTTGGGAGCGTGGCCAAGAGCGTGATCTTGTCTTGATTATGATCAATTCTCCATACTCGGATTTTGTGATCTTGATGAGCACTGAATAGTTTGTCAGCTAAAACTACTAGGGACTTCACTGCACCCTTTCCAGCTGCTGCCGTGTTATCAGTTAGATTTACAGGAAGGAATTCGGAGGTTAAAACGTTGTGCTTCCACAACCGAATTTCTTTGTCGGAACAGCCAGCGCAAAGTAATTGTCCGGAAAGTGCAAGAGAGGATATGTAGGAGTTGTGGCCATTAAGAGTGGCGATGCAATGGTGATGGGTGGTTTGAGGATGGTGGTTTTGGTGATTGAGCTGTGAGGTGAGGGAAGGAATTGATGTTAGGGTTGGCTGGGAATACAGGGGTAGTGACTCTGGGTGAAGGTTGCTAGACTGAGATTGATCAGAATTATAACTACTTGAGCAACAAGTTTGATTGTATCCTATCATTTCCATGTTAGAGAGAGAGTTTTTGCAAAAGATTGGAGTTGGTCTTGATGGTATTCTATCAAAAATTGGAGCAAGAACAACCCAGCTCAGATTCTTTAGAAAATTTGTGGAGGGTCATGTGAATTGGTTTGGTAGTCGCAGAGCATCCACTTTAGCTTACGCACTCTCTCTCTCTCTCTCTATATATATATATATGTATATATGTATGTATGTATGTATGTATGTATGTATAACCCAACAGATGTACATTTATTTGGGGTCAGAGATCACTTTCGATTGGTTTTCTAAGGAAGGGTAGATGCCATAGATATTGGAAAATAATATTTAATTGTTTACCTTATTTTTTGATTGGTAAGTTTTGTTGGTATCAATGAGATTAGCAACTTTCGGGCTTAGCATCTTAAATGAAGTTGGCTTGGGTCGGGTCCACCATATAAATGGATCACTCCACCTAAAATCCCTAGGCTTAGGTTCAAGGCAAGTATTTAATGGCCACCTAAAGTAGTGCAATTTTTGGATGGTGGTTTGCTAATCGTTTTAGCCACCCATTATATTCTGTATGTTTGTCTATAAATCACATGGTTATCATTCTCTGGTGCAGATTATACTTTTCCTGGAAAAAAAAACCTGTTGATTTAGGATCCTACCAATGTTCATATTTTATTCTTAAATATTTAACCACTTGATCTTGAATTTCAATGGACAAATTGAAATGTCAGAATAATTTATTTATTTCGTACTTATTATTTATTTATTTTTTTATGATAAAGAGTTTCCCTCTAATTTGGGTCATCCTTTGTAGGATTATAATTTTGTTGGATAATTACAAATAAAATTTTGTTATATGGATTATGAAAATATTTTCTTAGGGATCCTCTTGCATTGAAGGATTACAAATTAATGAGTTAAGGTTAAAAAATGGTCAAGTTTGAATGAGGATGAGGTCGAAGATATTGTTGGAAATAATGGAATGAATACACAGAGAAGAACAAATACGAAGAGTAAGAAGGAGATTTATGTATTTTTCTCTCCGTGTATCTTCAAGTTTTCATCCAACTATCAAAAATATGTCGCGTTATTATTTGTGGGCGTATCCACTATGTTTGGTTTCATGGTTCATACACAATTTAATCTAAGCAAAATTAACTTAGGTTTGGAGATACTTGTAACTGCGATGAACTTAGGTTATCTGCCATTCTTCTGCCCATTCTCTTTCTTTCCAAATAATCACCAATTCTTATCTTTTAAGCCACATCAGCTTGTACAATCATCACTAAATGCTATATCATTGCCACTTGTAATCTAGTTATTCGCTATATAGCCGATAGGATCCGTTTGAAGAGAAATTATTACATAGTACTCGTGAATCACAAAGTGACAAAAATCTTGTCCAAGATGACATAAAGTTTACATATTTGAGGAGGATTAATTCTACTTCAGCAACAAGTTTGATGGTATGGCGTCGTTTCCATGTGAGAGAGAGACCAGTTGGCCTCGGAATTAATTCTGAGGGCCATGTGAATTGGTTTGTTCAGTCTCAAAGCATCCACTTTAGCTTGCACCTCTCACTTTCTCTCTCTATAACATCGGAAATATCACTTGCTCACCGATTTATCTACACCAACCATATGATTAGAGTTTTAAAAAGGTAAGAAAAACACCCTTAATATATATATATATATATATATATATATATATATATAATGAGGGACAGTTTAGTTATTTCACATTTAATTAATTTTTTTATTCAGTTATAGATGGAAATTTTAATCTTTTGTAACATTCAAATTCTTATTTGCTTCAAAATTAAATATTAGGGACTTTTTAGAACGTATAGGAAATTATATATTCTATATGCATATTATAAGGATATTTTTCACTCGCGATCCAAAAAAATAATTATAAAAAAAAAAAACCATAACAATCAAATTCAACAGTTATTATGATTTAGTACGAATAAATTTCCTACTCAGATATCATTTTCGTGTATATATATAAATTATATAATACACAGATTCATATGTTTGGAGTTAGAGAGATCACTTTCAATTGGTTACATTAAAAGGGTAGACGTCATAGATATTGGACAATGGTATTTTCCCTATCAGTGAGCTTTAGTGGCATTGGGCCTACCAATCTCTTAAACGAAAGTGACTTGAATCGGGTCTACAATACAGATGGATCACTCCACCTAAAATCCAAGTAATGATCTTAATTGCCACCTAAATTAAGACATATTTGCTTGGATTATTGCTAATGGTAGTGAATGAGTTACAAAAATATCCATAGCGGGTCTTCATGGATGTGATTGTTTACTTTTTTATAAGTAGACAGTTAAATTGATAATGTTGTAAAAAATAATACTTTTTTTCAAATTAAACATTTATTTTGGAGCAACCAAAAATGAAAAAGTGAACGTAAGAACATTAGAACATTACATTTTTCATGGGGAAAGAAGAAATAATAATAATAATAAAAGGTATGTTGATTTAGGATCTCATCAATCTTCATATTATTATTTAAATTATTTGAGAAGTATATTTTAAGTTTAACAATTTAGATTTATGTTTTAAATTAGTTATGTGCAGATTTTGGTGGTTGTTTCCAATTTGGATCTCCTCTTGCCTTATTTCTCTCCTGTGTTTCAAACAAAATCTAACGAAAATTCTAATTTTTAACTGCACAATACATGTTTGTAATTATAATGTATTCAAGTGATCACATGAATAATGTAATTGTATTGACTTTCAAACATCATCCGGAGATGATTTCATCTAAGCAAAATGGTTTCATACACAAATTTGTAACGTAGGCTTGGAGTTACTTGGAACTGCAATGAACTTATGTTATGTGCCGTTCAAATCATCACCAATTCTTGTCTTTAACCACTTGACACATCAACTGTACAATCATCACTAATTGCTACATCATCTTTACCACTACTAATCTAGTTATTACCTATTTTACCCAGAGGGCTTGTTTGGGTGTGAAAACACTTTATATATGTGTGTGTATAATAAGCTCAAATTCCTTAATTTTGAATTTATTCATTTATGCTCCGTTTGGTTAGAGGGATGAAAATATGGATGGAAAGAAGAGGTAGAGGGAAAGGGATGTAGAGACATTCTTAGGGAAGGGAAGTTGTTTCCTTCCCTTTTTGTTTAATTGGATAGAATGGATAATAGAAATGATGGGTGGAGTGATTTTTTTGTTTGATTGGAAGGGAAATATGATTTATATATTATTGTTACTAATAAATCCTTATTATTTAAAATTCTATATCTATTCCAAATTTTAAATACAAAGGAGATCCTTCCTCTCTCCCTCTTTTCCCTTCCCTTCAACCGAATACGAAAAGGTTATTTTATCCCCTCACTCAGCCATCCTTCCTCAATTCCTCCCTTCAACAAACATAGCATTAGATATAATAATAAAAGAGTGATGCATTCTTGGTTAAGCAGAGGTTATCATTATTTTCCCATTCTGGGTTGTTGATGATAGTGGACGACAATACTATTCTGCTTCTTTTTTGAGTAGATATGTTGCACTAAAAATTATTCCCCCATGTGAAGCCTACCCACACAAGTTTTTATAGCTTTGTATTAGGTAGCCTAATAATGTTGTCCATTAATGCCAAGAACATCATATAAAAGATTAAAATAAAAAAATATCCAAAACCTGAAATTGTTGATTCTCTTTAATTCGTTTAGGAATTAGGGTTAGAGAAAAAAATCATCATGGTCTTTCAATATTTCCCGAGAATTTCGGATTTCATTCAAACAAACTTGCCGATTGAGTTTTAATTTGTTCGCAAATAAGTTACTTTTGATTCCAAATAGGGAATAGTTATTCAATAATAATAGAAACATTGTACACTGAGCGAGCTAGCCCTTTTAGTTGTGTTTCAATTTTTTTCTTTCAAATTTGAAGCACAACTAAAAATGTTAGTAGGCTAGCCTACGCTACTTTCGTTATTATTAAATATGAAAAACATCCTTGAAAGTATTATTAAATATGGAAAAGATCCTTGAAAGTGATTTGCCCACATAGGGAAACTTTTCAATCAGCACTCGGAAAATAATTGAAAAATGGGTTGTCAGATGTTTTGAATTAGCATACAGGATCTTAAAATTTGATTCCTAATGCTTCTGATTCATTTCTACATTATTTCCCACCAACTCTCTTTTTCTACTAACTTCATAATTGCAGATCTGTTTTTGACTTTTGTTAAATTCCTAAATTTTATAACCGTTTTTACTATATATATATATATATATATTTTTTTTTTTTCAGAAGATAATGAATTACTAGAAAGAAAAAATTTATAATTGATAACATTGTAACACCGACTAAGAGATAGGGGGTGTGAGATGATGGACCATGTGCACTCGCCTCTTTATCAGTCGTTGTGACAAATGTCAGACAATTGCAACATTACTTTATAAAGAGTTACTATCTCCGTCTCATTTTAAATGTCAGACAATTGCAACATTACTTTATAAAGAGTTACTATCTCCGTCTCATTTTAAATGTTGCTTTCGAAAATTGTGACTTACGAAGTTATAAGTCACAATTTTCGAATGCGACGTCTAAAATGAAACAAAGGGAGTACAATATAGTAATATTTCTTGACAAAATGAGTACATGAGTGTGTTTCCTACCAAACAAAAAGGATTCCATATCCGTTTCATTATAATTGGGAAATCGGTGGGACAAAATTGCCATCCCCGCCAGGTGGGCCGCGAATTGGGTGTGGAGAAGTTTTGATGTCTGAGACCTTCACTTTCAGAGTGGGCTCTTGTCAAGTCTTCTGTCTCCCAACCTCCTTGCAGGTCAATTGTGAGTTTGGGAGAGTCCCGAACTTGGACTCTCTCTCACCACTTTTGGGTGAGGCAATGAAATACACCCCACCTGTTACACTTTAATCCAACTCTCCAAATTTAAAGTACGGAATTCTATGGCGTGTGTGCTCAATGGCATTCGTAACATTTTCTTTTCGGTAGATCTGATCAAGTTTTATAAAAGGACAATTTTATTATTCTCGTATATATAAGGGTATTATTGACTTTTCACACTCAAAATCAACTGTCGCTGAACAGGTTGACAGTCCACTCCTCTCTAATTTA